TTAGTCCATTTTCACACTGCTGTAAAAACATTACCTGAGCTGGGCGCAGTGGCTCACACCTGTAATCCCAACACTTTGGGAGGACGACAAGGGCGGATCACGACGTCAGGAGTTCCAGACCACCCTGGCCAACATGGTAAAACTGTCTCCACTAAAAATAAAAAATTGGCTGGGTGTGGTGGCAGGCACCTGTATAGTCCCAGCTACTCAGGAAGCTGAGGCAGGAGAATCGCTTGAACCCGGGGGACACAGGAAGTTGCAGTGAGCCAATATCACGCCACTGTACTCCAGCCTGGAAGATTTGTTTTTCGGTTTTTTTTTTTGAGACAGGGTGTTACTCTTGCCCATGCTGGAGTGCAGTGGTGTGATCAGGGCTCACTACAGTCTTGGCCTCCTGGGCTCAAGCGATCCTTCCACCTCAGGCTCCCAGGTAGCTAGGACTACAGGAATGTGCTACCACACCTGGCTTTTTTCTTTTTCTTTTTTCTTTTGGTAGAGACAGAGTTTCACCATGTTTCCTGGGCTGGTCTCAAACTCCTGGGCTCAAGCAATCCTCCTGCCTTGGTCTCTCAAAATGTTGGGATTACAGGCATGAACCACTGTGCCTGGCCAATCAAAAAGATTTAAAAAAAAAAATGCATTTAGCATTTAGGGCTGGGTGCGGTGTCTCACGCCTGTAATTCCAGCACTTTGGGAGGCTGAGGCGGGTGGATCACCTGAGGTCAGGAGCTCGAGACCAGCCTGACCAACATGGAGAAACCCCATCTCTACTAAAAATACAAAATTAGCCGGGCGTGGTGGCGCATGCCTGTAATCCCAGCTACTTGGGAGGCTGGGGCAGGGGAATCTCTTGAACCCAGGAGGCAGAGGTTGTGGTGAGCCAAGATTGCACCATTGCACTCCAGCATGGGCAACAAGAGAAAAACTCTGTCACAAAAAAAAATTAGGTGCCTAGCCCAAAATATTATTACCATTATAACAAAGGACCATTGAATAATCATTATGATAACTTTATTAACATAGACAACATTTACAAACATAAAGTGCACTGTGCTGAAATTAAAAATGTGCTGACATTTTCTGGTAACCTTACCTTCTCATTGACCAGTATGGAAAATGATTTTGTTCATCTACGTTGCTGTAATGCAGTTAAGCCTCTTACATCTAATTTCTACTTTTTTTTTTTTTGAGATGGAGTCTTGCTGTGTCACCCAGGCTGGAGTGCAGTGGCGCGATCTCGGCTCACTGCCAGCTCCACCTCTTGGGTTCACACCATTCTGCTAGCCTCCCCAGCATCTGGGACTACAGGCGCCGCCACACCTGGCTAATTTTTTTTGTATTTTTAGTAGAGACGGGTTTCACTGTGTTAGCCAGGATGGTCTTGAGCTCCTGACCTCATGATCTGCCCGCCTCGGCCTCCCAAACTGCTGGGATTACAGGCATGAGCTACTGCGCCCGGCCTCTAATTCCCACTTTTAACAAAAGTCACAAAACTACTGCCTTCTAAAATGTTTTTGGAACTATAGCTCTTATTAAGCAACAGTCCATACTGTTCACAATTTTATTTACAGTGATGCTATCATTGTAGAAGTCAAATGACAACTCATTCAATAAAATAATCACATATTATGCCAATTAATGCTGCAGCATCTAAGCTAAAGGCCCAAAATTT